ACATGTAACTATGATAGAATGTAATAGTGATGGTAATTTAACCTATTCATATATTAGGTTATATGGTATTTTGTATGTTTAATCTTGACTTGTACCAGAGAGAAGAAGAGCAAAAATAAGTAGAAGTTTCTTAAAATATGAACGTATACAGTAGTAAGGTAACATTACTTTCCACCACTGTAAATGCAATGCTTACAGTAAGCTCCCCGCCATGAATAAACTTGTCGGGAACCTTTCAGGTAACATGTGAACTTGCCAAGTAGTGGGACAAACATTATCCAGCTGATCTCCTATGATATGCTGCCTGTCTGCCCGGGGCCCTGTCAAGTGCTCCTAACAAATGCCTCTCTTCGTTGCCCAACGCTCAATCCCCAAGAGGGGGCAGATAGATATGTTCTAGACAGTACGACTTGTAGGTGGGCTATGGTCCATTCTTTTGAGGAGCCAAAGCAGATTTTGTGTTGATAAAAAAAACACTGCTCTTTCTGTGTTCAATGCATAAAGTGAATGTAGACAAATTATTATAAAAATTGTATTTTCATGGAATATTTGATGTCTCTTCATTTCAAAAGGAAGAGCTGGAGAAGTAAAATAATATTTCAGGATGAGAAAAACACTTGATATAATCTGAGCATGAACACTCTGGATCACGTATACATGTTGAGAATATCCAAGTATTTTATAATAGGGAGGGAACGATTAAATAATGATTCATAACTGTAAGTGTTAAAGACAACATCCTGTAAAAATGAACGGGAAATAACAGTCTCATTGCCACTTTGAGCATCCTGACCTTGTCTTTTTTATTGCCAGCACATGCTCAATCCTTTGCTGTGGAATGACAACAAATGTGACAATCGCACGTGACAGCAAGCTAGCACGTGCCTCCGATCAGACAAACCATTTTATAGCTCACATTCTCACAACATGGAGACAAGAAGACATAGCTGCTCACAGTTAGAACATAATAAACCAACATTGAAAAAAGGAAATTGTTTATTATGTTCAGATCTGAGCTGTGGATTTGTTTATGTAGATGGTAAATCCCAGTTTCTTTCACTGGTATACAAGCTTAATAAAAAGGCAATTTTGTTCCCTGCCCAGCAGTATTGAGGCTAAGTAGACAAGAAAATAAACCTACAAAAATTACCACAATGTACTTTAAATTAGTTTAGACGCTCAAAAAGATCCAACTCTCTTTGCCACTGTTTATCAACCTTTAACTTATCAGAATTGCACTATTTTATATCTTCCTCTTATCGAACACAGCCCACCCTGACACTTCAGACACACTTACATCAACACACAGACAGTGAAGTGTCAGACATTCACCACTGAACACTGTTGATCTTGAACTACTTTTCCTTCCAAGTCAGTAAAGAAGGTATCTAACACTCAATGCAGGTTAACTGTATACACAGGAAAGTCAGATATCAGATATATAACTCAACTAATAAAATACATTTGTTTTTTTGTTTGTGATGATTGGAGCTGAAACTAGATTACATCTGTAACTGTTGTATCTGTTTGGCACTGACACATTGTGTTTAACACAAGTACTAATGCTATGTAATGTCTTTTGTGAGCTTTCCAAGGGATTGAGTGACACCAGTACACCTGGTTTTGTATTTGCGAATGGAAGTCTAGCAGACAGACTAACTGGAAGTTACAAAGCCCTCCTCTCTCTGGGGACTTCAAAGGAATTGACTTCCAACATCTATTTTTAGAGCACTGCTCTGATAATTAGTGAAAAACAGCAGGTTTATTTTGTTCTTTTCCGATACAGCTGTCACTGAAATAGCCATGAGTCAATGTTCTTTTTTGTACAAAATGACAGGTCGTTTGTGTACACTCTTTTCTCTGGAACTGAGGTGCATATATGGGCGATTACTGTAACCTCTGCTCACTGATATGCTCTGAAAAAAAAGGTTCTTGTTTATATACTTTGATGCTTTAGTTTAAAAGCAAGCTATGAAATCCATCATTCCAGTCATTTGCAGCCCATCTGCACAGCCTCCAAAACATTTACAACCAAACAGAGACGAGATAAAGGGAAAACCGTGATATCAAACAATGACACAAACAACAAAACACAAATGTATACGAGTCAGATTGCACAAAAAAAAGAATATAAAGCCATTATGGTACTTTAAATCTTTTAAAGTGTGTTCCCAAACTAGGATTGAGAAGACACAATATAAAGGTTGAGACAATGATTTGAAAATCTGCTGGTTACTTTGTCTTTATCCAGAATTGACCTTGTACAAAAATAAAACGGACATATTTCAAAATTACACATTGTCTCATTGTTGTGTTCATAATAGGTATGTGATGCACTGATGTCACTGACAGGCATCATATCATTAGTTTCTGGGGGGAAAGTTGTTATCCCTAAATGTACTGATAACCAGGACACTGTCAGGGTTTGGCTGAAAGTGTGTGTTTGTGTGTGTTTGTCCCTGGGGTGAGTTCCTCTTTCTGAACAGCTCTCTGTGGGAGATGATGTGTTTCTGAGAAGTGCCTGCAGATCTTTCCATAGAAACAGAATGAGAGGGCCCGGCAGTATCATGTCCGGGACCACCTGTGGATTTCACTGTGACTTCATTTCTAAATCTTAAAACAAATTAACGGAGAAGACAAACACCCTCAACGAACCCTGGCCTTGTTGTGCCTCTGACTGTACTAAATAACAGTTTAGACTGGAACTCCATACTGACAAATATTGTGATAAAGTCTCCGATATTTATATTAAATTATAATTGCTTCTGATGTCAGACAGTGCACGCACCTATAAGCGATATCTGGGAGGCTAACATATACTTTAAACTATTCAAGCATCTTTAAATAAATATACTAAACTACACATACTGTACAGCAAGTATGCTTCTAAGGGCATATAGTGGTTCATTTTGTATCTGTACCTGTTTATTCAGGAGTCACACAGGTCATTTAAAAATAAAATTAAGCTTTAATACTGCCAATTGCCGGATGATATTCATTCTTTAATTAGAAAGCAGTTAATTGCAATTTGCCTCAGATGTGTGACTTATGACACCACTCATTAATACTCAAATTGTCTCCTGCTCTTCCTCGATGGATGGCTGAGTGAGGAGAGACATCGGGTAGAAAGTGAGGAAGAGGACAGAAAAGTGTATCAACACCGAGTAAAGACTGTGCCAGCCTCCTGGCAGCTGCTGTATTTTTCTCCTGGGGATTAGCTGAGGTTTCAGGGTGACTGAGAGGACACAAAGCTGATAGCTGTAAAGATGGACATGTTGTCTAATTTTCAGTGATAACCAAAACAAACTCATATGTCATATGGACAGACTTGGATGCTGCAGAAGTGATACAAAGTTCTGGTAATGTTTGTTTTTATATTCTTTCTTAAAAACTGTGATAAAATATGAATGCCCTGAGTCTTCAAGGACCAATGTTTTGAGTACCGGAAAACAACATTCACAATGGAATTGTCTTTTAGAAAAAAATATAACACAAGTTCAGCCCTTCTTTGATTCCTTTGACAACAATATCTATTTCTCACCACTGTAACTACTATTTCCCTTTGGCAAACTGTGTTCAAATACTTACTCTAACGCAAATACAAAGGTTACAAATCTGCAACAACAAGTTCACTGCAGCCAAGATAATATTTATCCTTGGCAGAGCATAAGCACACAAAGTCAAATTTACAGTCCTGCATCAGTCCTGGAGAAGCTGTAGTCCAAAAGATCAAACCAGACACCAGCTTGGATGAAGTACTAGACAAAATTAGCCCCACTTCCGGGTAGCAATGGCGTGCTCTGATCGGGAGCGTGTCTGTGTTCCCACAGCCCGATGGTCCCACGGCCTAATATTTTGTTTCTTCTTCAAAATTAGGCCCTATGTTCCCAGGGGGGGGGGGGGGGGCCTAACCCTAATCCTACCATAACCCTAATCCGTTTTGTTCAGCCAGATCTCCACATGTCTACCCTACTTTTATAATTTTCGAATCATAAATCGTCAGAAGTGAAATGCTAACATAAATATGTAAATATTTAATATTATAAAAGTTAGAGTATATATGTATACAGTGCACTCCGCAATAGCGCCACCTATAACATATTAGAAATGTGGGACCATTGGGCTGTGGGAACATAGGGATGACCCCCTCTAATCTAGCGACTAGCCACCCTTAGCTTAGCAGTTAGCACAGACACGCTTAACAAACTGATATTAAATGAAAAATGTAAGTTGTTGCTTTCAGTTTTCTTTAGTTTTAGTTAAACCGGCTAACATTTTCTGCTATTCGTCGAGACTCTTCCCTCTCTTCCGTTGTTTCTTTCTCTTGCCCTCTTTTGTTCTGAGCTACCGTCCAATTAGCACAGGTGTCACTGACTGATGCTAAAGCAACCAATCAAACAAAATAGAGCAAAAATAAACAGATTGCCCTTTAGTCACTGTACTAAAGGGCAATCTGTTTATTTGTATTACCCCAGTTTGCCCAACTTTTTGCCTTTAATATTGTTTAGAACTGTTCACTTGTATTCAACTATTTTACAACCTTTCTTGTTTATTCATTTGTCTCAATAAACATATATTTTTTAAAACTTTTTTTCATTTCGGTTTGATTATCTTGATACATTTTTCATCCAACGTTATAATTAACGTTTAAATGCCTTACTTTTGTACTGGGGCTATATAATAATTATACCAATTTTCCAACCTAGATAAATCTGTTATATTATGGTTATTTCTCATGTATAATGGCAGGTATTGCACTTTGCGCAAACAGTTTTACAATTCACTTTTTACATTGTGGTGGTGCAAGAGCACAGCCAAAGAATCACCAAAGGATTAGTATGGAACTATTAAAGTTTGTACAACAGTTGTTGAAATATTTCAGGCTGGACCACACTAGTTTAGATATTGCCATCACTAGGCTAAATGTATTGAATTGTGTCTGAGACAGTTGTATTCAGGGTTCATAGCAGCAGGTAAATACATAAAAAACACTCCAGCAAGTCATTTGAGTTATTTTATTGAACAGAAGAAAAAACAAAACGATTGTGTTAAAATGTGTTTCATGTTAAAGCATTGTAGTTCATCGCTAATAAAGTGCACTTTCAGTTTACAACCAAATGGAGACTCCAATTAATATCCTCTTTCCCTTCCCATGAGCTCAATCATATCCCACCTGATGCAGGACTCTCTGCGCCAGAGCTCTCCTCGGCAGAACACTACCACAGTCAAATATATCAGACCAAGTGCAATGACTGAGCGTCTCAGTGAGGACGAGTGCATAAGTGTTAATGGAAGATCAGCCATTCTCTTTCCTCTCACCCGGGTCTAAAAATGTGTCAAGACTATACCTGCTACTATTTCCTATCTGGGCTCAGTTCAACCAAGAAAAAGTAATAATAAGAAAGGTGACTTCTTCACAAATATGATTATGCAATCGAGTGATTGTAAAATAGCACAGTAGTTCCTAACAGTGTTTCAATGATGGCCAGCGTCAAGCTTAAATCTAGAGTGTCTTTACATTTTAAGATCTTCACTTTAAAAAAATATTTTCTTATTTCCAGAAGTATTTTCTACATAATATATATGTACAGTTGTATCTTTACAAAGAAAATAATGCTTTGTTAAAGACTGCAAGGTCAGTATCGACTCCAGTTTGGCACATGTTTGTGATATCACCCAAAAACAGACTAAATGGAAGAGACAGAAGAAACAAGTGCATTCAACACCCAGTTTCACCATTTTCACTTTAAATTCTGGCTCACCTGAACAGACGGACACTAAACTAGCAAATGAATCATTTCCTAACTCTAATTTAAAATGATATGGATGTGAAATGGTAATTCTGCTTATGTGCAGCAAATAGGAATGTAATTCATATGAAAACAAGTTGTTTGATGTCACTACAGGGTATGGCCATAAACCCTGGGCCACTGAGAAAAAACATCGACAATACAAAGGATATCATATGAATCAACACTATTGAATTTGACTTCTATGTAGTTTAGGATTAAAATGTGCTACACATGGCAGACACAATAAGTCAGAGACCAACCAAGACAGAACTACTAAGCTGTAGTTCAACATGTGACATGAAAAGAGAAAATTAGACATTTTTGAAGAAGAATACAAAAACAAAGGGATGAAAGAACATCCCTGCAGGTAGTGTGCATTTCACGTGGTGAAGGGGCGAATTTACTTTGATATCAAAAAGCACATAAACACAGCACTGGAAAATAATCAGCAGCTAAGAAACATCTACTACTAACATTTCATTAATATCAGTTTCACTGGGAACTTCCACATTGGGTAACCTCACCTCTTATTGCACTGTTTTCAATATTTCCTGTCAATCAAAAGATTGGGCAGTTCTGGGTTGTTTCTCACCTTATACGTCTCATATTTTTTATTTACCATGCAAACTGATGAAACCACCATTCATCTGCTACTTAGTAATGATGTATCTATTATTTAATATATCATTCCAATAACTTGTATATACTCGTATTGCACTATTCCACTTTTTTTTTTCTCACTAAAATGTTTGTATTACTTTTAATATAGTATATTTTAATATGGTCTGCTTATCTGTATTATTGTGTTGCATTGGTGGAGAAGCCTGTGACCTAAGATTTTCAACGACATAATTACTCTGTAGCTATGTTAGTTTGACAATAAAGAACCTTGAACCCAAATTGTTTTTGGTGCAGTCCTATAGAAGTTGTGTCTTACATACACCATGTCCTTCAAATTGAGAGTTTAGACTAAGGGTCTTAACATAAAAAGCTCTCAGAGGAGCAATATTACACAGATACCTTCATTAACTACCTTTCTGCATTACAAATAACAGTAATAAATAAGTAAAAGTAGAATAAATATGACTTTTTGTTCAGAATACAAATTATAAAGATTCAGCTGACTTCAATGTGGACCAGTCAGACAGAGAAACAGATTTCCTTCCTTGTGTAGTGTAGGAGGATTAGGCTCAGGTGAATGTTATGTTAATTGTGGAGTTGCAACAGCAGGAATAGTGATTCTATATTGGGCCTCTTCATTATCAGCATTTACACCTGAAGTTTAGCTTTTGAGTTCTATCTAATTAATGCTCAGATATTTCTTCAAAGCCATTAATAATGCATGAAGATAAGATAAGATGGACTTTTATTAATCCCTCGTGGGGAAATTGTTTCTCTGCATTTGACCCATCCTAGTGTTAGGAGCAGTGGGCTGCCATTTTGAACGGCGCCCGGGGAGCAGTGTGGGGAACGGTGCCTTGCTCAGGGACACCTCGGTAGCACTTGGTCTTGCCGGGACTTGAACTGGTGACCTTCCAGTTGCCAAGCCAAGTCTCTATCGAAACCTCTCCATGAGCATTAAACAGTGTTTGTCTCCAACTTCATTCTCTTTACATGCATCAACCATGGACATAAAGCTAAACGAAGAACTAGACAGTGATGGGAAAAATAGCCCATATTAAAGGAATAGCAGTGTGTGGGGGACACATGAAGACCTTATATACATAGAAATGATATAGCACCATTTTTGACAGCCTGACCCTTCACCCCATCATGTTCCTGATGAAGAATCACCTTTGCAGATCTTCACTGAGCATCTGGAGCTCAATGTGGACGTAGAATCCATTTTGTTTCCGTCGTGCTGTTAAGCATTTTTGCTTTGGTTTTAAAGTGCAGTCCAGATGCAGGTGACTAAAAGGCAAGAAGCAAATGACAGGGAGAAAGAGAGAAGGATGAAGTGCAGTAAAACCCAGAGGATGGGGGTGGGACAGAGGATTGGCCCGTACATCAGAGAGGTCAGACTTGGAGATGGTGGGAGTCTGAGTCCGTTAGGCTAAAGGTTAAAAAAAATCCTATTTAGTCTCTCCTGTGTCACTGATGCAGCTCCAGTCACTCTCTGGACTGGTAGAAGAGGATATATCCCGACTCTGAGTTCTTGGAGATGTCTGAGGTAAGCCCGTAAAACTCTTCAATGGCCTGGGCATCAATTTTCTGCACAACACAGTAAGTAAGATGCTGGTAAGTGATAACAAAGAACAATAGCTAATGAACAAACAGATGAGTCAAGGACCATTGCAGCAGAACATAACATGCTGAGAGTGAGAGTGACGCACCTCCACAATGTCATCGTCAAACAGCAGCCAGAAGCCATGACTCTTCACTATGGTGATGTAATGACCTCTGTTTGGACCACTGAGGAAACAAAGACAAACAGTGAGTCTCTGACGTGTACACAAAACTCTCACTTTGAAAATACATCTGACTTCACAGATGTCACACAAATATTCAATGTTGTTTAATTCGGAGTAAAAATGTCAAGTAAATATATGTTACTTCAAAGCATTCTTAGTTTTTCCTATGAATAATTGTCCTTATTTTGGAATGCAGAATACATATTTAACTTGAGCATTTAATCATGTTTAGATCACATTTAAAAAGTGACTTTGCTTCACAATTTGTTGATGTGATTCCAAACTTGTGTTACGGGTTATGGAAGGAGGATGTGCGTCCCTTTTAATTATATAGAATAAAGAGATCATATACAACTACACAGTTATTACCCCTGCTTATTAGAGAGAGTACCATCAGCTAAAACCATTTTCTTATGGAGATCAACAGAATTGAGACTGCAAAAGCTTGATGGAGCAAGCTTTGTTTCATCTCAACACTTTACATGTGATAATTAGTATACTGTACCTGCCACAGTGAACCACCACAGCCACTAGATCGTACATGCGATCCAGGTTAACCGCATCCCCCGATGTATTGAACAGACGGAGCTCTAGGGGGAAAACTACTCGATAGGACAGCTTGGTGTAGCGGTGCAGCTGCTCCATGTACTTAAACCTCTTCAGGTGCAGGGCTAGGATCATAGGAAGCTTCTTCACACGCATCCTGCAGAGAAACATACATGCTCAGAGAAGGGTACCATCACACATCACAGAGGTAATTAATCTCAGTGCTTTACTGACCGCTTCTGTGCTTCCTGCTTGCTGCAGCATGCCTCACAGTAGTATTTGTATTCACTGCACAAAGTCTCTGTGTTACTGAAGTCCCTAAAGGGGGGAGCATGCCACAGGAGGCTTGGTTATTAAATCTTATTCAGACCAAAAGGGAACGTGATCTACGGTCATCCCGTTTAACTGACTAAATGTATAATAAATCAACGCTACCTGAGACAGTGTGTTATGGATGTGTTCTGCTCCACATCCACAGAAAGATCCAGAAAATCTTCATCTTTGCTGCTCACCTGTCAAACACAGAGAGACACTGAGGTAACTACACTGTCATCCTTTTTGGCAGGATCAGTGAGGATAAGCCTGAAGTCCTGCAACACATCACCCGCCCGCCCATCCAAATACACACAAACAGTCTTTGAAATGCTGATTGTACTGAGTAGCTTTTGTCTCGGAGCACTGCAGTGCCTTGGTGTTTGCAGAGGGTTGTTCAGGGCAACCCGTCCCACTCTTTGCCCATAAAACCCAGAGGACAAAGCCTACGTCAGCCCTGACGTAGAGCGCGTGGCCGGAGCCCACCGGGTGTGATGACTCCCTCATTTCTGTAAAATAAAAAGGTTAATCCCTGTTTCAGACTTATTCAGGAGGGGTCCTTAATTCAGTGTGACACAGGGACAATATTAAATATTCTACCCCTCCAAGAGAGCTCAATGGACAAACAGAGCAGAGCCACACACCGTTTCACAGTTGAGGCAGCGCGTCTCATTGGTCAGCGTGCCCTGGAAGATATCGTGAACCCACGTGGGCTCCGTCTTGTTCTCCGTGTTTGTCTCTGTGGTGACGGGGGTCCCGTTGTTCTTGAGGCGCCCGTTCTGCTTCTCCTGCTTCTTCTCCTCTTGCAGTATGTCGGCCACGGTGTTCAGCAGGTAGTTGAGGAATTCGTGGGCATCCTGTTGCATGTAGTTATCAAACAGATCTGCAGGAAGATACAATTAATGGAGATAATTAATAGAAAATAATGGGGATGTCCCAGGCAACTTTTTTGGCAATTGATCATGTTTCCAGCCATTTAATATTGATTATCTGCCCATACTGAGTCCAATGTTTATATTAATGTAGGGATGCAACTAAGAATTATTTAAATTATTAAAGGTCTCCTATCATGCAAAAAGCACATTTTGATGTCTTTTACACATAAAGTGTGTCCCCGGTGTGTCAGGGAACTTTTAAAGCTAAGGAACCAGAATCAGCACTTCTCTAATGGCGCTTTTCCACTGAAGCACGTAGCACGGTTTAAGCGGGCCGGGTTTGTATTGCTTTTTGCTTTTCCACTTGGGATAGTTCCGGCTCAGGGCTACTTTTTCACCTTTTTTCTGGCCCTCCAAAATCGAGGTTCTTACCGGGCCAACAACCGGGCTGAATATGCTAAACTAGTGACGTAGACACTCTCGACTGCTGAATGGTCAGAGAGAATCGCTGGCAAGGGGGCTACAACTACAACAAAATGAACATATTTTACCGTGATTTAATTGTAATACACGTTTCAAAATGATGCCGAAGTAACAACATACTGATACCGGTTAGTAAAAACCATGAATTAATGCTTTGACAAGTCTGCAGACAAAACGGCAGGCGAAAAACCTTTTAAAATGCGTGTGGAGATCGGATCGATCAGGCTAAGCTAACAAGGGTTCAAGGTTCTTTATTTAGTCATACGAACATAGCTACAGTGTAGTTATGCCGATGAAAATCTTAGGTCACAGGCTTCTCCAACAGTGCAACACAAAACCCAGATAAACAGAAAAATATAGTGCAAGTAAATAGTAAATACAAAAAGAAAAATAGTTTAAAACAGTTTAAAAAAGTGAAATAGTGCAATAGAGTCTATATGCAAGTTATTGGAATATGATATATTAGGTAAATAGATCAATCATTTCTAAGTAGCAGCCAGATGTATATGCTCCGTCCACACTCACAACAACGGCCTACAGACATAAATAAACCAGCGACTGTATTCACCATGACACAGGCAGTCTGTGGTTTGTACTTGTTTAACTTTTGTCTAGTTTCTGAACAGATATGAGGAGCTGTGAGCTCTTGAGTGCTAACAGCTAACGGCTGATGTTTTGGTTTTGTGGTTCACATTGAAGATGACGTCACGGCCGTTTTATGCAGCGTCGCTCCGCCCGCCGAACAGCCGATCGCCCCGCCTACACTGTGTTACCATAGTTACTACCCCAGTATCTAAACTGTAATGGAAACGCAGCATAAAGTGAGCCTGGCCTACCAAGGCCTAACCATACCGTACTAAGCCTTGCGAGGTCCTGCAGTGGAAAAGCGCCATAACAGGGCTGAAATAGAGGGCTATGAGGCATGGCTAGAAGGGGTGATCTGTTTGGTATTTTGAGCAAAACAAATCATAGACATGTTTTTTATATATTTGTATATATCTGAGACCCATAATATATGCATAAAAATAGCATGATAGGAGATCTTTAAAGTATTAAGGAAATAGTGTTCTTAATTAATTATTAAAAACAACAAAATGTAAAATAATTATTTAAAAAAAATTCTGTTATAGATTTTTACTGTAATAATTAGGGATGCACGATATTGTTTTTTTTAAACCGATACCGATAACTTCCTGCTTCTCAAGACCGATAACACATTTTTTTTTACGCCACTAATTATTTTAACGCGATTAACGCATGTGTATTTTTTTTCCTCGGCCGCCCCGTAGTTTCAGAGCGCATCGAGTTTAAAATACCATCTACAAGCTGATGCTGACAGGCCCGCTCCTGTCTCCCGCTTGTGGCAGACCACACTTCCACGCTCACTGGCAGGCACCGACTGGCCATCTGGAGGACCGGGTGTGTGTATGTGTGGCCTGAGCGAGCGAGAGAGAGACCTTACGTGCATTGTTGTTGTTAGCATCTGGTGCTAGCTAGCTGCGCTAACGGATATACGGAGCTATTTAAATGAAAACAGAGGAGCGACATTTCGCCACAACTGCGCCGAGCACTTGACTTTATGCAGGAAGCCAGACAGTGGGACATTGTACGAAAAGTCAGCACACTCAGCAGGGATAGTGCGCAACATGATTGCAGCGTCCAGGCAGCTCCGGTTCGAGCATATGCCTTGACTTGCACATAGCTCCAACGCCCATACCACCGACGACATGTTTGTTTACTGTCCTGGCTTCACGAGTTAGGGAGCGCTGGATTTGTGAAAAACTCCCCTCTTCCTAAACCACTAATACCACAGTACTGGCAAAACGGGAGGAGCCGAATTAAAAACAAGCGCCCCTCATCCCAATCCACCCACACCGCAGTATTTTTTTCTTTTACCCAAAAAATATATTGTATATTATCAGGGCTATTAATACTGGTATCGGGTTTATCGGGATGACGTCATAATTCCTAATATCGGACCGATCATTATCGGGCCAATAATTATCGTGCATCCCTAGTAATAATGCAGTATTACAGTACATCCACACACACTTCTGTTTTGACAGATGTGAATGTGAAAGGGGAAAGCTGAGAAGTGGGGAGTCGGGGAGAGAGAAAGCAGAAGGAAAAAAGTCCAGAGAGGAGGCAGCTGACCGAAGCTGGGTCCGAACAGAGATTTCATTGTTCATTCACAAAGAGCTTCCTCAATATAGACAGCAGAGAACAGTCAGCCTCTCTGTCAGCTCCGCTCTCTGAATGACCTTACCTCCAACATGCACATGCCCTTCACCTCAAATATTCAGAATACACTAAAGCCAGCACTGCTACCAACATACAATGCACCACCACAAACCCCCCCCCTCTGTTTGGTTATGAACATGCATACAAGAGTGCAGATTTTCCTCTGATCCTGGGTTTTTGTTTGCAACATCTATTAACTTGGGTTATGTAAATGTATAAATGTTAGTGTTATTAGTTTAGCTTTTTCTGCCTTTCATAGTTAAACAAAAAATAAGCAGTTAAAATGTGCATTGTAGTAATTTTCTAAGTGTTAAATCAAGGGATTAACTTCCAAATTCCTACTAAATATAACATCTGATTTTATGGCTTAATCCAGTGGTTCTCAAAGTGGGGGGCGCCGAGGCATGACAGAGAGACCAGGAGGAAAAATGGTTATTTAAAAAAAATAAAAAATAAAAACATTTTTTGAAAAATTATTGATTCGAAAATAATATGATACAGTACTATTACATCTGGGTCTCTGTGTTTCATTAAAGCTCGGCTCTGTGTGTGTGTGTGTGTGTGTGTGTATGTGTGTGTGGAACAAGCCATTTTGTGTGCGTGCGCGAGAGAGAGAGAGCGCACCGTTACCGGAGATCGTTGTTGTTAGCTTCTGGTGCTAGCGAGCTATGCTAACAGGTATAAGGAGTTTTTTCAACAACAAAGTGGAGGAGTGTCCTCTCCTGTCAGACTGAGAGACTCAGTGAACTAAAGGACTCTCTCAGTGTTATCTCAGTGGGTCTCAAACGTTTTGGTCACCATTAATGTAAACAATTATTTCCGAGGCACACATTTATATGATCATTATAGTTATACAAAAATAAGAGAATAAATTAAAAACAGGTATGAAATACTATATGACATTAAAAAAAGAATAACGTTTAAAAGGGAGTGATTTGTAAATATCCATAAAGAAATAGTAAATCTGTTTACAGTTCTGTTTCATATGGGTGTTGAGAGGTATCCATAGATCTCTTCATTTTACTATCAAAGTGCACCAGATTGATGCATTTAACTTCAATATTTAAAAATCTTCCCGGGGGAGCTTGCCCCCGGACCCCCCTATGTGAGGTCCACACACCACCTATAAAAATAGCACTTTACCCCTGCTTACACCTCTATGCCGTGAGCTGATATCGAGCCTTCATTGTAACAGTCACGGGAACATTGTGTATCTGCGTGGGGATTGTTGCAGTAGAAAATTCCACTGTAGCGCCCGGTACATTAATGGGAAACCCTAAATGTTTGAGCACCCTCTATGAAACGTCAAGCTCACAGCACCCCCAAAATAAATATCTGGCGCCGCCACTGAGCCTGACAATTTGTGTTGGGGGGCCCCGACTTTTTTTTTTTCTCCAAAGGGGGGGGGGCCTGACAGAAATGGTTTGAGAACCACTGGCTTAATCTAAAGATCTAATAGTAAAATGTTGTAAATGTGCTAGTCATAATTTTCTTATCCACCTTTTTGACTTTAAACCCCTTTTTCCTCGTGCATGTCATTTCTTTTTACGATTTAATCTTTCACTATACTGCATATCATAAAGTTGCACCTTCTTTAAATGTAAGGCCTATTTATTGCTACCACCTGTGTGAAGATGGTGTCGACATAAGGCTTAGTAAAAAAACATTTTATTAGGTTTTCAGTTCCTATAAGATTTCCTTTACATCATCTGGGCTCTCACCGTTCTCTTTCCGTAGGCGGGAGATGAACTTCTTGGGCGGGATGACGCCCACTTTCTTCTTCTGCGTGGCAATAGAGTGGAAGAGGTCAGCCAGGCATGTGAGCAGGTTCTCCTTCTTCTTCTGCTGGGCTTTGTAAGACAGCACGTTCTCCCGGAAAGGCCGGCAGAAGTAGAGAGCCTGTAGCACCGAGTTACAGTAACATGTGTTTCCAAACTGTAGGAAGGAAAGAGCAGACACATTTAAAGATGAGGACCAAAAGGTTTTTTTTTCCTGTCTCTTTTTCTTTTAGATTATAGTTTGAACTAGCTGGTGGAAAAATACCGAATTGGTCAAATGTTTTTAACAACTTGGCAGACATGTAAGGTGTTGAGAAAAGTGTGTGTTTGCATGAATGTGATATTACAGATACAGAACATCCCTATGTTGGGAAACAGGCTCATAAACAACACCTTCACTGCTCACTATACAGTAGAGGACATGACTCACTGAAGTCCCATGGCAGTTTGTTTTGAAAAATGACACCAATGTTTTCTGGCAAAGCCCTTTGTTAATGTATGAGAGGCTTTAGTGATACTCACATTGACCAATCCGAAGTAGTGTTCATTGATTGGGAACTGCTCTGGGCCGATGTCTTTCTCCAGAGCAGAGGCATTGGTGCCCTGAAAGACAAAACACAAGACACGAAAACATGAGGGTGTTTTTGTTATCAGTTCTTCAACACCATCATCTCTCTTATCATTCAGTTCATATGGAAAGTAACGAGGCCAGAATGAAAGCCTGATTTGTTTAATGTAGTCTATGTACAGCCAAGAATATGTAAATGTTGGGAGGTCAACAAGCACCAACTGGTAACTGAGGGTTTAAAACTAAGACGTAAAACAACAATAGAGGCCTCTCTTTCATGCAGCATAATTGATAAAAGTATCCTCTTTGCCAAATGTCACTGTATCAGTTTCTTCAAGAATGTTGTAGCTCATCTCGATGCCTTTTCTCAAAACCCCCAAAACCTTCCTGTCAAAGTAGAAAAAGGATATGTCCTAAATAAGTAGACCCATGTGAAAGGTCAAGAATATACAACCCCTGATTGCGGAGGCGCACCACTTATCTCTGGTCGGAGCCTTTTCACTTGTCAGAGCTCAAAGCTTTTCCAAATGAACCAAAGCTTTGTTTTGCGAACACAATTTAGTTTGGGGACGGCTTTGACTTTCATTTCTCCCTGTCAAAGCGGACAGTGAATACCTCTTTGTCTGATTTACCACGTCGAGTCTGAAAACAAGTCCATGTACTGTACCCATACAAACTGGCTCTTTCCTTGTGGGACGTTTTATAATGCAAACAACATGACCTTTGTATTACATATCTGGAGAGAAATATTGGTAATGCAACCCAAGTGGACCTGAAAGTCTATTCAAATCAATGCAAAACAAACTCCTAATAACTCCTGGTGCCACGTTTTGAAATGTGAGCCGTTCGTGATAAACAGCAGGCAGTGGCATTATTTATTTCAAGGACAAAAATACTTTATTTGTTTAAAAAACAAACAACCTATGCACTTTGGAAGAACTTGAACTTTGTTGGCACAGCAGAAGACGCTGTGAAGAATCAAGACACCAACACACTGTCGTCACTTGCTTTGTATGATAAAGAGTCACTCACTTATTACTTTGTAAAGTTGGACACACCTTTTGTATCGAGTTGATACATTTTTCTTTGTGCATTTAAAAGTCTGAGAGTCCTTGGGTAACATATTTCAAATAGTCAAAGTAATACATGACAATGGAATAATTGTGTTTGCACTCAGGGGTTTTAGAGTTGGATAAACAGAAAACTACATTTCTTATATTCAAAATATAACCATGATTCTTTTATTTGTGTCTTTTACGCTCAAATAATTCAATACAAGAATGTGGGAGAAAAAAACATTTGAGTCAATAAGCAATTTATTGTACTTTAGCAGTATACTAAAAACTGCAATAAAGGAACTGGTTACTCAGTACTATGTGTTTATTGAGTGCAAGAGATATTATTATTGCGATATCAAACAATGTAACAGCATATCCAATGATAGCTATTGAATGTTTGTTATGAAGAGAAATACAAATATAGCTAGAGTTCAAACCACTAATACATCAGTTTTAAATGTGTTTTTTTTCTTTTCAGTTGTCTACGATGGTATACTAAATATTGATGGGTTCCGGGACTGTTAGTTGGGTCAAAAACAACTTAAAGAGGTTTCTTGGTCTCATTTAAACTAATGCGCATTTTCAATAAGAACAAAAACCAAGATTGGATTATTTTCTTTGTCATAAATGGTAGAAAACCAAATTATACATCATCTTGTGGTGTGGGAAACTATTACAAGTCTGTCATTTTGTAAACAGCACATTTATTTGATTAAATCATAGAATAAAGCAGTTACAGTCCTCCTAACTCGAAGATGATATGTATGATCTTACAACTCAGCCCTACCACTAACATAAGCTAACTTATTGTACAACAAAACACTGGCTGTAGTGTAGGGGACACAAGCTGCATCCTTTCACTTACAGTACAACTTGTATTAACTGTTAATACGACAAATATCCACACAAGGTGAGTTAATTCAACATTCACTTGTGTTTAGCAGTGCTGTATCACTTCTTCAGGAGGCATATCTTTACCAATGTGTCTGTTAAACTCACAATAAACCCAAATATATAAAACGTGTTGTGCTTGGGATGCTGGGTAATAACTCTTTGTACTGGGGGTCATTAATGCAGGGCAGCACTGCAGGCTCCTGACATTAGTATCCCTAGTCTCAATGAAGGGTCGGCTCTCTGCTAACTGGATGTCAGCAGCTCTCTGCAGCCGCTACACATTATGCAATCACAACAAGCTGTCAAAGGCAGAGCAATGCTTCATTCGCCTGTCAATCATCGATGACAGCTCTCAGCAGGATGAACGAAGCAGCAGTGTGTAAAGCTCTCCAAAATGAATATGAAGGATGGGATGCAGGCCCGTCTGAGCACCGACACCTGATAAAACTCTGAATCCTAGTATCTGTTACATGCATGTGCATCTCCCCCCCCCTCCCCGCACATGTGTGACTGCAGGGGGGGGGGGGGCTGCGCGACTAACCCATGAACATCATTACACACCAGGAACACAGTGGCTGCAGGCAAATCGATAGCAACACACATAACCAGTAAGGTACTCACCATATTACAAATGGAGGCGATGTTTCTGACAGTCATTTAGTTTACAGTGTGCCCCTCGCCGCCATCTTTATAAAAATAAACATGATTTGAGAGCAAGCCGACGCTGAGAAATGAAGTTAAATCGCAGCCGCGGCTGGAGGCCAGACTGCAACCCCAAGCGTCAGAAAGAGAGAGAGACGCGGAGCAGCATGCAGCAGCACGGAGCTGAACCTCAGAGACACGCATTCATCCTCACACACATCCCATAAACACCTGGCACCCGTTAATGCATGGGTGGATGGTGGACAGACGAAGTTGCAGGCAGCAGGTTGTTAGCAACGAGCAGCAAACAAGCGTGATGTGTGTAAGGAAGCGGTAGCCCCGCCCACACGAGCTGAACTCCGGAGCTGATTGGCTCAGATGTACTGGGTTTGATTGACAGGATCACAAAACCACAACCAGACTTGTATAATAATGTTTGTATGAGCTGCAACCAATCAGCAGCAAGGGTTTGACGCAATGGTGTGAGGGAATTGTAGTTAATTTCTGAGCTAGGTTTAAAGAGATTTTGTAGGCTGTTGTAATGCAAGATGAAGATATAAAGTGATCAATTACGTATTCTTTACAATTGATCATGTTATAAATACAAAGATTATTTAGTTTATACATTTCAGAAAATACTGAAAAACTATCCTGTGGTTTGAGCCAAGGTTTTGTCTTCAAATTAATTATGAATAAACATTTAATATCATTTTAATGAAGGGTCTAAACTTATAAAGATAGATGAGTCAAAAGACAGTTTGAGTCCTTCGCTCCCTATAATCTAACTTGGTTGCTTCTCTCCTTAGAACCTTGTTGCTTCTGAAAAAAACAACAATTGTTTATAAGAGAAGGAATGTGCTAATACTTATTGCACTTTTTGTATATTGTAAATTCCCAAACAAAAGACAATCTAATCAATAAAACTGTTGGGCACTTGTCATCATTCTTGACATTTTGTAGACTAAATAACTAATTAATCAATTTGCAGGTATTCTGCACTCAAACCACCAATTAGCTGACCATAAAGTAAGTGTCCCCTCTGCAGGGGTCCCGGGGCCCTCAGGACACTCTCATTCATCACTCTCTTTGTTAGTTCTTTCACAACAATCTCCTTGCAATTATCTCCTTAGAATTTACATGTGAACTAAAAGAAAGGAAAACAACAAATAATTATGATTAACATACTTCAAAAGGAACAGGAAAGCAGAGAGAGATAAAAACTATTCACAGAAAAACAAATAACAGAATACAGGGTTGCCAGTTTGAGCCGTGGAGGATGGGAACGTTTCATTGTTCATCAGACGTTTGATATGCGCCACTGGTTTATTTAGACATTTGTTGATTGACGTTTTCTCGCGGGGAATGTATGATTACTTCTGATTGGCAGGGAAACAATTACATAGGGTGGAAGCTTATTTATACAGAACAGACCCAGACTTCATTTACATTTCATTATAGTCTGTGTTAATGGGGCACTGGTTGAAGCTGCTCTTTTCCTGACTCTACTGCTTTTAATGTCCTTATGTGCTTTCTGATGGACGTGGATAATGTCTTCATTGTAAAAGCTAACATATGATAAACTTTCATTGTCATCCAGCATCAAAAATAGGTTTGATAACAGCGTCTGTACATCTGCTGAGTCTTGTTGATGGGATAACATCTGTTTTATCTTCCTTTTCAGGCTGTGCAGGTCAGTCTATGTGTTGACAGGAGGCTTCAGATGAAAAGCAAAGGTGGGAGAATTCACTCTGTTTATATGAAGTTTTAATCTCTCTCATCCAGTGTGTGATTGCCTCCATGTTTGGATTGAGTTGACAGGACTTTTGTATCCACAGCACGGTTTTTCATCAGCCAGCAGGTGAACCTCAGAGGACCTTCTCTGCTCAGTGGTTCAGATCAGAAGTGAGGGGGGTTGTCTTGATTTCTATGAGTGCGCACGTGCACTACACACAGGCAGACAAACATAGAGACAAAAAAAAAACGAGCTCAGAAAATGTTTCCAGTAAACGAGGCTGCCTTCATGACTTCCTGTTGTTCAGAAAAAAGAGGGGAATTAATAATGTACTATTTCTGTACCTCGGAGAAAATAACCCTGCGAACAGAATCTGATTCACTGCAGCCTGGTGACATTTGGTACAGGCTTTTGAAAAACATTACAGAACAGCTTGTCTTTTTCACTCCATTGGTATACATTCCACAGTTTGGATGTGAATCATACATCTTTGTAAAACTGCATAAAACATTCAGTTTTGAAGTGTTAAATGTTATTATGCTGCATTGTTTGAAGTGAAACATGCATGCATTGTTTTAACTTTGTATTACCTTTGCTTATCACTCTTGCTTTCAAAATGCCATACTGGTAATCTGAGGCTTCAGTTCACACAGCATATTTTATTTTATTTTATGCAGTTTGTTTTTGTTTTTGAAGTTATCCAATGCTTTTTTGAACAATGAAGCATGATATGGGAGGCGTGTGGTGCAGTGGATGGAGCGTTGTTGTTCGGATCAGGGGGAGCACAGGTTCAAACCCCACTGCAGTCAGCATGTCGTTGTGTCCCTGGGCAAGACACTTCACCCCAAATTGCTCCTGTGGGGATTGCCCACAGCATTGAGTATGTAAGTCTCTTTGGATAAAAGCGTCTAACAAGTGACATGTAATGTAATGTAATACCCTTCAGGGATATTGGAAGCAAGTGTGTGTTAGCTTGATTTTATTTTATTGCATCTCTTGTTTCAATAGTGGGAAGAAGCTCTTGTCTATTGGGTGAGCTCAATATTGGAAAAGTATTGTGGTAGAAATATAATAGCACCTCGGGGGAAGTGTTGTGTTATAAAGACATAATGACCAGATTTGTCAAATGTAGAACACTTTCTCTTAGAGAAGCTTCCAGAAAAGTCTGCTCATGTCAGAGTCATTACCACATTCTTCCAGCACGTAAATGCTCTGCATAATCAAACTGTATCTTGACCTCTAATCATGAATAACTTGAATCCAATCAGACAAGGCCTCATGTTAGATCTAGGTCAAGTAACATTCCTCATTTTGCACTCATTCAAACCTTTTAAAATAGACATTGCCTGTGTTTTATCAAAGGAGGTGAGGGGGAAAACAGAAAGAACTTGGCTACAACAGAGAGAACAGGAAGGAGAGGAGGAGTGCATTATTAGTTATTATTAGCACAGAAACACATTTCGGCACACTTAATGGCTTTGGTACACGCTGTTCCAAATGTTCTGTACCCCTGCGTCTATAAACAAAGAGACAGAGTAAGTGAGGGACTGGCACTAGGTTCTATTTGGATGAGCAGCAGACTCAACGATATATTGACACATTGGCATACTGCGCATCTGTTCTCTTTGTCATTAGTGACCAAACAGGGAACACAGAGAACCCATAACAAAGAAGTAAGACACAGGAAATGATAAACATGTTCTTGATTGATTATTTTAATCAGCTGATTCATTGTTGCATGTGCAAAAAGGCCGGAAATACAGTTTACCCTGATAACAATAAACTACCCTTAAAGTGAAAGCTGATTATATATCAATTATGAATATAAAGACTGATAATGTTTAGGAATTTGCTCCAAACTATTATGAAACCTTAGCAACAATTTCAGCCTTGTGTCGACGTGGAAGTCTGCACCAGCTGGATGTTTCAATCTTTCTCCAATCTCCTCTGTAAAACCACTCAAGCTGCTCGGGGTCTGTGCACCCTGCGGGAGTCTTTAAATCTTCTTCAATTTAATGTTATAAAACAATAAGACATGAAAAACAAAGAATATGAATATTTATTTTATAGGAAATGTAGTAAAATAAATGCAAATGTGTCCCAGAGCCCAGTGGGATGTCTTGAAATTGCTTGGTTTTTCCAACCAACAGTCAAAATCAGTAAAGAATAATACAAAAAAGGGAGAAAAATTGAAAATCTTAACTTTGAAGTCAGAACCATTTAAAGCTTGATATATTTGTTTATCAATTAATAACTGTTGATTTATTCACTTACCCCAGATCTCTTCTTGTTGCTCTCTCAAGCTGTACGTTTATACTGTATATACATTTTTTCCACATAACATATATATATTTCTTATTTTAGCTTCAAGTCTTATGTGTATCTTGCAAATAAGTACATTGGGAGCAAATTGAAATCCCCAGTCCATTTCCCTGCTCAAATATACATGACCATTTAAGCTGAAATGGGATTTTGAAAGTTCAGGTGTCAGAACAAAAGCATATCAAATAGCACATAATAACAAAATGGTTCATTTAGGTTCGCAGGTTTGCAGCGACCTCCCTCTATTGTCTGCCTGAAATATCCCAAAATGCACCTGTTCTGCTCCAGAAACACTTCCAGTAGGTAGACAGCGACAACCGCACAAAAGCCGCTTTGTTCTGGTTTCACTAAGCAGGGAGCAGAGGAGTTCACTGTGACCATCTCGCACAGGCAAATGTTAGCTTTTGAGTGAGTGCATGTCATTTTGTTGGTTACTCATAATGAAACCAAATTGATGTGTGTCAGTGGATAATAGTGTTTGTCCGGTTATATAAAGCACTAGCCTACTTTTATATGATAATATCCCATAATCATATAAGGAGAGGTTTGCAATCAGGCCATAAGTGATTCTGGTACTCAAATAGTACCTGTTACAGTTTTTATTTAAATACTAAAGGTGAATGCACATCATGTGACTTTCAATTTTGAACTAAGTGAATCAAATGAAACATAAGAGAACGTGCAGAGAACAAATGCTACAGACCTTTTAGCTTAAATGGGAAGCATGCTAGAAAATGTGTATGCCATTTATAAGACAACATCCTGCCACACACATACACACGTGTGCACATGTACCATACCCCCTGCACATTTTCCTCATCTCTTTAGCAGCTCAAGAGTCCTGAGCAGCCGTTATTCTCCTGTGAAGGCTCACTAGCATCTTGTCCAGATCATGGCCCGCAACAATAGATCTGTTTGTACGACTGGATGTCTACAGTGATGGCTGCAGAAAGCCCTGGAGCCTGACCCACTTTCCAGTCCTGTGAACAGCATTAATTCACTCTGCCAGGTGCTTGGGAGACTGGAGGTCTGCTAGGTGAATGTACAGCAGCCTTTATCTGCCTTTACTCAGCACAGGCTAATGCTTGAGGTTCGGATTGTAGCTGAGTAAAGGACCTTGAGAGGTTTTGTTTTGTAGAAGAACAGAAAAATATACAAGTACAAAAGTGTATATGGATAAAGATGTACAGTACTTCTAGATTTTGTAACAGCAACCGAGCAAAAGTATAAAGTCTTAACTTACTTGTTACTCAT